GTATAGTTGTGTAAGTCATGGGTCCCACCCCAAGGCCTAAACCTTAAATCCTAAACCATGAATGCTAAACCCTAGCATTACTTCGAAGCTTGACGGTTCAGAGTCAAAGCAGGAACTTTCTCAAGACTTACCCCTGCCTCAACATAGGGTTGTGGGTTTAGGGTCCAGGGCCGAAGGCTTAGGGTGTAGGTGTCTGAAGAAGAGGGTATCCTGGGGATATACAGAGGAGAAGGGAACTATTTGACAGCCCCACTTGTTGTACAGGGAGTGCTTTCAGAAACTCCGCAATCTATTCTCTCCCCCCAATCACCACGAGCACCATGCACCACGTCCCACGACTCATTCGCCCACAGCTCCCTGTTGTGCGGCGATGGATTGCCAAAAGACGCCTGTGGGACCAACCAACCAGTTCCTCCAGCTCCAGACAATCATAACGTCAATGGCGAACATGGTCCCCACGGCTTCGACGATGGAGTCGAAGATCTCCTCAGCTTTGCCAACGACGTGCAACAGTAATTTGGCGCCGCAGATATCTTCTACGCGGATCTCCTCATACTTTGGAATCACCGCTTGGCTGAGAAATGCCATGATCGGCAACAATCCACTCTGACATTCTGAGATATGCCCATTTAGGGTTTTGAGCCTCAGACTTTTGCTTTTCGTACACCCACATGGACAGCCCGTATGCATATGCATATACATCTACCAAAGCTTTAAACCTTTTACTGAAGAGGAACCCTACATACACTCAACAAAAAACAGAGCAATCAGAACCCACTGTAGATCTGGTTCCTTTGGGTTTTAGGGTTTAGGGCTCGGGGACTACAATGTCATACGCCTTATTCAGTGTCGACACGTTAGAATTTAACACCGTCTCCAAATGTGACCCCAACCCTAAGGGTCTACGGACCCAAATAATAGGGTTTTAGGGCCCAACTACCATGAATATTATAGTATTTGGGCCCTAAAACCCCATTATTTGGGTCCTTGGACCCTTAGGGGAAGATACTTATGGTATTTGGGCCCTAAAACCCCATTATTTGGGTCCTTGGACCCTTAGGGGAGTTTAACACCGTCTCCAAACGTGACCCCAATACATCGGTCAGACAGGAAGGTCGCTCTTTCCGTAGCTTTTGCCACCTGAGAGCCCTCCTACAACGTAGAGGCCTGAGTAGATGGACCCTCTTCCTACCCTCTAGGGGACTACTATAGGGGGTTAGGGTTTGGGGTTTAGGGTTTTAGGGTTTAGGGTTTACCTGGACCCGAAAAGTATGTAAAACAATGGCCTTTATGGCTGTTATTGTGGGTTTAGGGCTATTATTTTACATGCTTTTGGGGTTTAGGTAGGGCCTAAGTACCCACTATTAGGGACCATATATCCCCAATTAAGGGTACAAGGAAGGTCCTGGTAGATAGAATAGAGTGCTGAAGTCAAATATACGAGAATGCTATACACACGGGCTGTTAGGGATCGATCTCATGGGAAGCTTTGACTGCACAACAACCAAGCGATCAGAGATTCCAGATAATATGGGGTCCACCGACTCATTCTTGAAAAAGCCCTAAACCCTAAGCCCCAAACCCTAAACAACAAACCTAGTGGGGACTGGAAGGGCAGGACTGTGTTCAGAGTTTGGACTCTGAAGCTCTTCGAGATTGGAGGCTGGTTGGTTTCTCTTCTCTACTGTTACTCAGAACTGTTGAGAGATCCCTATGACTGTTTGTATTTTGTGTGGGACAGAAGTCCTCTCCACTGTTGATAGAGGAAATCTTGTACCACCTAGAGCCCCTAAACTAGTGTAATTCCTAGAGTTCAGGTGGTGCAAGATTTCATCCATAAACAGCATCACTATTCCATGCCTTTCTTTGCTTTATCATTTCTGCTGCAGGAAAGCTCGCTCTATTCCGAAAGAATCGAAACTAGGGATCTTTACCTACGGGTTTAGGGTTTAGGGGATTTAGGGTTTGGGGTATGAGTTATAGGGTTTTACAAGGGACCCTCAGTAGGAGTTATTCTTAGTTGAAGTTTCAATGCCCAAGCGCTATGCTTCTGCATGGGCCCTAGAACCAAAGCTGATGTTGTTTTTTTAGATCAAGGCTTTAGGGCTCAGGTAAAGGGACTTTACTGGGAACCCCAAACAGGGAACCCCAAGAATATAGTAGGAATATACCTACCGGGGTCCTTATGTTCTATTATTTGACTCCTACAATATTATTGGGGTTCCCTGTTTGGGGTTCCCATTAGAATCCTTTTATCAGGGTTGTAGCCAACTACATCTCCGGGTAGGTGGGTCCCGAAAATTGCATTTTCTTGTTCCTTCCTACCATCCAAATGAACAGCTTAAACTCGCAAGGGGTTTGGCTCTCTAGGCCTAATCCCTAAACCTCAGTTGCCCTACACCCTATGCCCCGACACCTGCTCCATCGGTGCAGAGGTGTCCGGAGCCTGTGCAGCACTTGGGGTTCCACGCTTTGGGGGCTTGCTGCCCAGAGCTCTTAATCCCAAAGCTTTCCTAAACCCTAAACCCTTAGGGTTTGCATAGAGCTGCGGGTCCTGGGGGGCAGCCTTGTAAAAAGGATGGGCGCTGAATTGTGTATGGCTCTGGGGAGGGAATTGTTCTGCAAGGTATCCTGCAAGCGAACTTGCCTAGGAAAGTCATTTCTAGCGTTTGCCACTACAATCCCTGATTGCCTCATGGTCCACAAACTTTTTGCAATCCCCGTAAATCCCCGAAGGTCCCTATATAGGCTAGACCGGTTTGAGACACCTCAATGTAGCTACGGCCCAGGCTCTTGGAGGTTTCCCTCCATCTCGGAATTCATTGTGCATGGCTTGCGGGGTAGCTTGGGGGGGGGGGCTTGGAGTCTCAAGGTTGGGGGTTAAAGGTTATATCCCTACGGAACTTAGCAAAAACATCTTTGCAGCTGGGCTTATCTTGGTCTGTTTCCCACGTTATCATACCTCTAGCTGGCCCCGTACCGGTTACCGCAATTACAAGTACTGCTATGGCCACAAATACAAGCAGTCACTACGTCAACTGTATCCAGGGGTTCTGGGTTGTATATGGCAAAATGATACCCATTGAGAGCTATAAATGGCTGAAATCTTGATGCAACTCTTGCGTTCAGGGGAATTCCTACCTTTCTGGGGGGTCTACCTTACAAACTTACAGGACATGCTGTTGATGGATGAAATCTTGCACCACCTAGGGGCCTTAAGGGCTTAAGGTGGTGCAAGATTTCCCCCTAAACCCTAACTAAACACAAAACCCTTAAACCCTAAACCCTAAACCATTAAGCCTTAAACCCTAGTAATCCCCCTCAAAAAAGAAGAACATCCGGGGGTCCAGGTATTCTGTAAATCATCAAACCTTGAGTTCAACCTTGGGCTCTCTCTCTCTCTCTCCTTGGACCCCCGAAGGTAAGTTAAATAGTGACCCATACCTAAGCACTAAAAAGTATGTAGAATTATAGCCTTTTGGGCTGTTTTTAATTGTTTAGTGCTATTGTTTTACATACTTTTGGGGTCCAGGTAACCCTTTAGGCAACAGACAGGCAAGTGTTCTACGTACCGTTGGGCTTCAGGGAGGGCCAAGGGTGTAGAATTTTTCGGTTTAAGCAAACCCTGAATCCCGAACCCTATAAACCTTATGCTTTGTTGGATTGTTGGGTGTGGAGTATGCCGGTTGAGGGTTTTGGGTTCAGAGCTTGAAGGGTTTGGGATTCGAGTTATTGCCTTTGAGCTATCATTTGTTTCCAAATCTTGAGGCCCAGGTAGGCCCAAACCACAAAATCCCTGATCCCTGAACTCTTAACCCTAAACCCTGAACCCTAAACCTACCCCTGGTACGCCTTCTCTGTGGCGGCGGCTGCGGTAGCTTGGACGGCTGGGGCGGCCGGTGCAGGTTCGGCAGCCTACCATGTCAGTCCCAAAAAAGAAGAGAAGGCTTTAGGGTTTAGGGTTTTAGAGGTTTAGAGTTTAGGGTTTAGGGGTTTTGGGGTTTAGGATTCAGGGTTTAGGGGTTCAGAGTTTAGGTTCTAGGATTAGAGGTTTAGGGTTTACGGGTTTAGGGCCCCAAGAACAGAAGGAGGTGCAGAATGTAGGGCTTCCGGAGCGGTTGAGGGGTAGGGGTGCAGAGATCAAAGTTCCAGTGCCTGAAGGCAATCATAAGATGGTCGTAGGCACCCATTGCCAGTGTTAAATTACAACAACTTCTCGTGATAGTTGTGCTGCGGTCTATCAACATAGGTGACAGATGTGCTACCCTTCAGCTTCATAAGGCCCGGGGGTTTTAAAGAGCCCCGAGGAATACGACTTACCCTAAGGCTCCAAGTACTCAATAATCATATACTTACCCCACACCTGCACTATGATTACTATTAGCCTAAACGCCAAGTACTTAATTATTGGGTCCGTGACCCTCTAACTTAGACCCTTCGTGATGAGCTCGGAGGAACCTGAAGCTCAAACATCCCTTACCAAACAAAAGAACCCACAGGGTCCAAGTACTCAATAGTTAGGTACTTGGGTTTAGGGTACTAGTAATTGTAGTACAGGTCTTGTGTAAGCATATGATTATTAGGTACTTGGACCTAAAGGGGAAGGGGTGGCCACAATGGCACTATTGGAGCATTTGACAGCATGCGCCCGTAAGCGCAAAGTAATAATTCCTCCGACCCCTGTGTTTTTCAGTCATGAGGCCTAGACAATAACGAGCTGGATCCCTTACCATCGACATTACGCAACGTTCGCTAGCATGAACTCACCTCGAAATAGTATTGGATATTCCCAAAATAGTAACGCACCGAAAAAAAAGGAGCTTATCTGTTGGGGATCAAGGGAGGATGTATTAAATACAATAGAGCATGGGTGCTTCTGAAGGAAACCTCGGAAACCTCTCCGTCTACAGCTATTGAAATCACTAGAACCCAGTTGCAAATTTACGCTTGTTGTAAGCTGCAGCCCGGTAACTAGGCTTCTAGGAAAAGTCTCAAGACACCTTGTGCTCTGCCTGCGCATTGCTCGGCGCAGCTTCTGCGGGAGCGGCTGCGGGCGTTGCTGCTGGTGGGGCCGCCGCTGGAGGTGCAGCAGCCGCAGGGGTGGCAGCCGGAGGGGCCGCGGCGGCAGCTGGAGGAGCCGCAGATACAGGAGGCGCCAGTGGCGGGAACGCCACTGGAGGGGCAGATTCTGCTGGAACAGCAGGGGCGGCGGCTGCAGGGGCCGCCGTTGAAGGAGCCGTAGATACAGGAGGTGCCAGCGGGGGGAACACAACAGGAGGGGCAGCTTCTGCTGGAGCAGCTGCAGGAGCAGCAGCCGGGGGCGCGGCAGCTGGAGGGGCAGCGGCTATCGGGGGTGCGAGCGGAGGGAAGACAACCGGGTTGGCAGCAGCCTGCAGGGAGAAAGGCAGTACACACACCCCTTATCAGAAATACTTCATTGCTCCTACAAGGAATCTGAAATTAAAGCACCAGTTATCGGGGGCAGGGAAGCCAGAGAACAACAATGAGACAACTGGCATCGCTGTTTGAAACAAGCCAATATAAAACCAACTCGCCAAGCGTCACTCTGGGAGAACTCTGCAAAGTCCCTCCTCATCCTCGTCCCTCTAGTCGTCCTCCTCATTTAGGTCCTCCTTGTATACTACAAAGTACTAGAAAGTACTACAGCCGCCAGCACAAGCAGCACCCGCAGCAGCACCACCACAACCGCCACCACCACGACCGCCACCAGCACTACAACCACCAGAACCACCAACACCAGCACCTCCACCATGGGCATGACTGCGATCTACGCCCATCAAGCCAACCACCACCACGACCACGACGGCGGCGGCAACCGCGACACAGAAGATGAGTACGACCATGGCGACGACAGCGGCGATGACGACAATGACGACGACCACGGCCATGACCATGCCGACAGCGACAGCGACCATGATGGCGACAAGTCGACTGACAAGTAGCTCTAGGAGGTGCCATATACCTCCAAGTACCGGCAGCCACTGGCCTCCACGGGGGCAGGCGCAGCGACTGGCGGCATGACTCCAGCGGCAGCCATGGCGGCCATTGGGTTCCTTATGCAAAGGTGTCATAGGTTTGATTGAGGCTCTAGTGAGGGCCAGTGGGGCCCGTATGGGGTTTGGGCTTGGGGGGCTCCCTTACAATACAAGCAAGATGAACTTGGAGGCCCTTCCAAAATCCAAATTATGATGGCTCATGGGTCGCCTGTTTAACTAACATCCCGTTTTTGTTACACAATGTTGAGAGCAATTCACATATAGACATTACATGGACTTATAAGCCCAAACCCGGAACCCCCAATCTTTTTTGCCTGAGCACGAAATCCCTACATCCACGAGCCTGAGCTCTGAATCCCAAAATCCCTGAACCCATGACCCAAGATCAGAAGCCTGAACCATATATCCCTGAATCCTCAAACCTAAATCTCGAAACCCCTAGGGCTCAATTTGCCCAGAAAGATTGAAATAGGACAAAAATGGGCTTCCATACATGTATTTTCTGCGCAAAATGTGGCGCATTTCAGGAATTGGACCCTTAAGACCTTAAGAACAGCAAACGCGACAAAATGCCTAAATCCTACACCCTATGCCTCTAAATCCCTAAACTCTAGTTCAAGGCTTATGATGGCTTCTGCCATGCCCAGCCAACCAACCGCAAACACCGGCATCGAATCGGATCGAAGATCGAATCGATCGAATCGAACTTGCCCGTTACCGTGGCCCACCTGCCCCCAGCTCCGGTGGGAAGCGGGA